CCCAACTTTTTTTTCATAAATCAAACCGCGGATCACGTCTGTACCGAACCGAAGACGTTGAACCGAACGGATCACGGATCAGTGATGAACCGTTGCACCTCTAATGTTAAGTATATATTTATTTTGAAATTATGTATATACAATGTTGATTTTATTTGTATTCAGTAATATTGTTTTAATTTTTTACTAAATTTGTAGGTATATAGATGTTGTATGCCTTTTTTAATAACCAATACATTTATCAAAAGTGTTGTGTTTTTGTGAAAATGAGGTTGAGCATTGGAAACCTGCACTATTCTCAGTGAACAATCAACTGTTCAAAGAAATTATTCCAACAAATTATCAATTTGATAATACTGTTCCGTTTTAAATACCTGACATAGACACAAGTACAGAAGGATCCTCAGAGTAAAGCATTCTTTTCAATTTATCAAAAAACAAAATCCATTGCAGAACCCAAACCCAGAGGTGCAAATTGTATTGTTTTTTTCCATCAACAATGAACCATCGATCAAAGTTGATATAGTAGTTATCGTGACAAGCCTACCGTCTCTTACTTCACTCCTGGACCTCATTCTTTTCATTTTGTGGTGCGTTCAGGGCCCATGTCTGCCAGTTAGCGGTCGTGTTTGGAGAGTGAACTGCTGTAGCTCTCAGTCTTGGCCATGTGCCTTGCCCCACTGAGCGGCTCTTTGTGCTCCCGGGAATCGCACCAGCAGCTTTCACTACAAACACCACACTTGTGTTTCAAACCAGCGCTGCACTTCAGACCGGGTGGGCAGCAGACACGCAGCCATCAGACATAACTAGGGCAAAGAGGGTTTTTAGATAATGAATAAAAAAACTTGTTGGGTATAAACTGTAATATTGTCAGCAGACCCATTAAACTCCGAAGCAAGATTATTCCAAGATCCAAGTCTGGATCTCTGGAACTCTAAAGGAATTACAAATGTTAAGAATTGTATTAAATTGACCTCCTGCCCTTAAATGTTGATATAAAATAAGTCATTTTATGAATTATAATATTACGGGTAAGTCCCGCCTTCCCTTCTCTTAGCTATAGCTCAAAATTCACGATGCCGTCCATGTTAACCAATAACGTGATGGCAAGGGCTGTCCATCATCGGCGCTCTAGCTGCGCGCATGCTCAGTTGTTTGTTTTTACGGAGCCTCCGAATCAAGCCTTTATAGGCTCTGGAACTGAACAAAAAATTCTGAACATCAGCGCTGAGTTACTCAATTATATACTGATCATATCCATAATATTTATATACTGATCCTATATCCATAATCATTTATATACTGATCCTATATCCATAATCATTTATATACTGAACCTATATCCATAATCATTTATATACTGAACCTATATCCATAATAATTTATATACTGAACCTATATCTATAATCATTTATATACTGATCCTATATCCATAATCATTTATATACTGATCCTATATCCATAATCATTTATATACTGATCCTATATCCATAATCATTTATATACTGATCCTATATCCATAATCATTTATATACTGATCCTATATCCATAATCATTTATATACTGAACCTATATCCATAATCATTTATATACTGAACCTATATCTATAATCATTTATATACTGAACATATATCCATAATCAGATCCTCTCCAGATGTGTCCTATAATGTTCAATTAATGATAATAGCTACTGTCGGGTTAACCGGGATCGCTTTTTTCGTGCATTAAAACATTATTTTTGTCATGAAAACGTTAACAAATAATTCTGAAAACCTCTGTGCATGTGTATTAATAATTTATATATGTATAATGTGTTACGGGTTAGTTTGATTGTTGCGGAAACGTAGACGTAGACCAATCAAGGAAGGAGGAGGGAGCTTGGGTCGTTTTTTTTTCTTCAATCATGTACCTCCCGCTCTCTTTTTTCTGAAACTCCAGACAATCACCTTAATATAAGTTATAAGGGGTTCATTCTTGTTTTATGATTCACAATTACTCATTACCTGGCTGTCATATAACCTGGCAAAAGCCAGATTGATGATTGTGTAGAACTCTAACGCGTTCTCCGCGATATCAATCTGGGATTTTTCCCGGAGAATCCTTTCGGGGAAAGGAGGGGTAAGCAGCAGAATACTTGAAGCTGATTGGGCGAAGTGACGCTGTGTGCCCGCCTACCAAGGTTGCCGTACAGAAATGTACAAAACGCCTCTCGCTGTTCATCTTTCAAAAAAGAAATTGGAGATTCTGCTAAAACTGACTTTGCGTCCGTCCTCCTGCGTAGCCATGTTTGTTTTGCTTCGGCCCGGCACTTCTTGCTTTCGTCAAACCCGGATATCCCGCCCTAAACCCCCAGACTGGCGCGTGATTGGCTCGCACACCCAGTGGTTCGACTCGAAAAGTGTAAGCGGGAGCGGTACAAGATGTATTCTCGAGTGTTTGTGAACTCACAAATACCGCGAGAATTCAGCTTGCAGGCAAGGTTAGCTGTCATAGATCTTTTTTATAGGTAAAAACCTCATCGCACTTGCACAAAAATGCTATTGAGCCTCAATTCCTATGATAATAGTACGATTTGGTAACATCACGATCCCTTCTGTTTAGGGAAGTCAATATTCTGTTTATCGATGGTGACAAATATGAATTATTGTTTTTTCACTTTTAATCAAGTTTCAGACCTGTGGATTTAACCTACTGGAGTTAGAAACTGTACTTGCTCCATGTTACATATGACTTCTTATTTTTACAGATGGTTTCATTTAAACAATTGTGTGGTGCTTTTTTAGGGGGAGGGGTCTTTTGAAGATATTGATTTTTGTAAATATAAAATATTAACAATATTGCAAAATCTGTCAAGTCTGTCAAGCTGGTATTCCAATTTATCATTGTTCCATTGTTACTTCAGGGTAAAATCCCTGTATCAACATTACATCACAGCAATAACGCTCGAAACCCAAAGTGTGGCTTCCCTTCTTCTGCTGACTTTAATTTGTTGTACAGTTTATTAAGTTTCCTAATAGGACAAGTGGAAACTGTCTATCACATGTATGTTTTGTATTTCTTAGTGGAACAATTAAAAATGACCTGTCAACTAACGCAAGGACCGTAAGTCTCTGATCATTTCAGACCAAACCAGTCTCTGAGGTGTCTGTGCGGACTGCATAATTCAACCTGGAGTTCTAGCTGGTGCCGTAAATGTGCTGTAGATTGATGGTCTTGTGTTTTATAAAACCACTGGAGCGTAGATTAGTCACTGTTGTCCCGTTAAAACTGTTTTGAGTAGTTCAGAGTGCACGAAGCCGCTCTGTCACCTGTTTTAATGATATGTTTTAGTTTGTGAAAGGACGGCTGACTACATATGGTCAAAATCCACAAGCTTGTACTTTAACTGGCCCACTCCACGAAGAAAAGTCTTTACTACTGTAAAGAGGAACTGGAAAAATAGCTGAGGGCTGTAACAAGTGAATCAAATAATCGCAACAAATCAATTATATTAGTTGACAACCATTTAAATCTTTTTTAGTTTTTTTATTTTATTTTCATAACTTTGATAATTCTGTGAGGACTCCAGAATGAAATGTTTTTAAGTTATCTCTATGACTATGTTCTCCAGGGAATCAGATGTATAAAAAGGTTCCATATTCTTCCTTGCAGATTGAAACTGTATAAACTAATCGGCTCACACCTAGTATTGCAGTCACTCCCTACATCCTCAGGCTCCCAAACGGGGATATTTTTTGAATAAAAGTCCAAACTATGTTGTGTGAATACCATTTTAAAACCAGATATCTGGGGTCACTGGGAGAAATCGGACGGGATCCAGTGTAAGCTCAGTCACAAAACCAGATGTATATTAGTTCCAAATGATGAATCAAGACAGAGGGAGCCAAGATTATTACAATAAACGTTTTTCTGGCTGGGAAATTGTGCTTTAAATGCTGTGTTGAGTCAGGTCAGAGTGAAAGTGTGAGTGAATCCCTCTGCATTAAGCCTGTGCTCCATCTGGCTGTGGCTGAGTGAACTCATTCTTGTTTTGGTTTTTGCTGCTACTGCTGGAGACTCCCTCAAACAGAGCAGCACAGTGTAGCAGTGGCTCCCTCTACTGGACAGGACTTGTAGTGCACAGTGCAGCCACAACAGCATTAGTTGATGGAACTCAGCATGACACAGTTATAATTAGACGAGTGCAAGTGAGGCCAGACTCTGTAGAGATGTACTTTCTCTCCCTTTTGTTCATTGATTTTACAACGCATTTGATTTATTCATTGAGCCGTCTAATTATTCAGAACAATTTTCTTAAGACTAGCACATTCTAGAACATTCCACTTTTTTCTATACAATTACTTTTGGCTCAAACAGAGTCAGATTCAGTTTTATTTGCCATTTGCAAAAAAAACACATTGGAATACATTAGCAAAAAGTCTCCAGTGTGCACAGACATAAAACAACATTAAAAGACAGAAATAAAACTGTAAACAAATGTCACTGTGAAATCGATCGACTAAAACAGTTTCAAAACAAGTGCAAATCATTAAAGTGCTCTGTTCACACTGATAACAGCTTGTGGATAAAAACTGTTACTCAAACCTTCTTGACTTGCAACATAACTAATAGAGAAATACACATTTCAGAATTGTCTTTTGAGAAAGTAATTTAAAGCTGGGGTATATAACTTTCAAACCAAAAAAAAAAACTAAGTTATAGACCCTAACTAGTTTAAAGGAATGTATCTCATACATGTGTTTTTGGCCTCTGTGACATCTTGGTTCCGCTTTTTCAGGAATAAAAGGTAAGCATCATCAGCTCTCAGACAAAAGCGTCCAACAGGTCTTTTTCTCACAAGCATGCAAACTATGTTATGTTTAAGATGGAGATGGCTTGTAGTAAAAGTAAAAGTGTGAACAAATCAGACCACAACGTTTCCTGTTGGGAGAAACAAAATGTATTGACCCTTAAAGTAGGAGGTTTGCCCACTCATGTTTTTCCTTGTTTCTGTTTTGCAGGTGATCATCGAGGTGACGGAGATGCTGCACAACGCCAGTCTGCTCATCGACGACATCGAAGACAGCTCGAAGCTGCGGCGAGGCTTCCCCGTGGCCCACAGCATCTACGGCATCCCCTCCGTCATCAACTCCGCCAACTACGTCTACTTCCTGGGCCTGGAGAAGGTGCTGACGCTGGAGCACCCCGAGGCCGTCAAGCTCTTCACCAGCCAGCTACTGGAGCTCCACCGCGGACAGGGCCTGGACATCTTCTGGAGGGACACGTACACCTGTCCCACCGAGGAGGAGTACCGCAACATGGTGCTGCAGAAGACCGGGGGGCTGTTTGGCCTGGCTGTCGGGCTCATGCAGCTCTTCTCTGCCTGGAAGCGGGACCTCAAGCCGCTTCTGGACACCCTGGGCTTGTTCTTCCAAATCCGCGACGACTACGCCAACCTGAGCTCGAAGGAGTACAGCGAGAACAAAAGCTTCTGCGAGGACCTGACCGAGGGCAAGTTCTCCTTCCCGACCATCCACGCCATCTGGTCCTGCCCCGAGAGCACGCAGGTCCAGAACATCCTACGGCAGCGGACGGAGAACATGGACATCAAGAAGTACTGCGTGGACTATTTGGAGAAGGTGGGGTCCTTCGCGTACACGAGGAAAACTCTCTGGGAGCTGGAGGAGGAGTCGTACAGGCTGATCAAAGAGCTGGGAGGGAACCCACAGCTGGAGAGTCTGGTCAAACTGCTCAGCCAGATGCATCATCATGAGGCCAGTGCGCAAGACGGTGCAGCAGGGGGCAGCACTGAGCAGCACAAACTCTGATCTTGGCCGACACCTGTTCAAGAAGCACTCCTGAAGACATGGTTTTATGGATTGTATGTGGTAGCAATGACGGCTTGTGTACAAATCACAAATAGATACATGCTTCCAGTCCCTAAATTTTCCATTTGATATAAACATTTACAGTCACACAAACTATAATATAATTGTTTTAGGAAGCCGTCAATGAAAACAACATGGCAGGGAACATGTCCATTCATATTTTAACCATAATGCAGGTCTTACGATCCACTCATGCGTATTACATGTGTTAGTCAGAAATTCTCAGGGGTATGGTGTTGTCTTCAAATGGTCTTGTTTATATTTGGCCTTTTGTAGTGTAAGAGAAAGGAAACGATATCTTTTGTGTTTCTTAAAATGGAACAAGATTGACTTTCATCACAAATGAAATTCTTGAATTGTTGAAGTTCATAGAATTAAACTGCAATTGTCCTCATCAAAACGGTTTTAAAAAGCTTTGTTATGAGCTCCTTCATGCATGTTGTCAGGGTGGAAATGATATAAGACGGTTTGTTACATGTAAGAAAAAGCCATTTTGTAGGATTACAGATTTAAAAAATACATATACAGTATATACAAAAGCACTCATAGAGCGCAGGCTTGCGCCGAGAGGCACAGTTCTATTCCTTTGAAAAAATTCTTCATCCAGACTATGATTCGGATCACCTCCAAAATTGAATCACTTGCGCATGTTTCCTGAAAATAGTGTCCAAATCCTAATGTAATGTTTCTCACAGACAAACGCTGATGATCACTTTCCCTCCTGGGCTGAGATGATAAAATGAATGTAAATTAAACCACATAATGTATTCTTCCATCCTTCAGTGGAGAGCAGCGCCTGCACGCTGGACTTTGATTCTATGTGTAACTTAACATTAAAGACACGGTGTGGAAGTTCTCCCAAAGGACGTAATCCGCTCAACACCTCTTGATGTGGATATATTTATTTTACCACTTGATTTCTCGCACTGAAAATCACCTGTACATTCCTGGACACCTGTTGCATCTCTGGGCTACACTTGAACTGGAGGAAGCCGCTCTGCACCCGGAATACTGATGTTGCCTTTATCTGCTGTGAACTTTTCACTTTACTACTTTTATATTGAAATTGTGCACACATCCTGAATTGTATTAAATCTTTGTTTAATCCTTCTTTTCTCTGATCCTACTTTTGTGTGCAGTGGTTGTCTTTTAAGATTCGGTTAGACTTCTACAAACAATTCCCCTTGAGGATCAATTTACTATCTTCTACACAAGCCCAGATTTGATAACACATTAGTCGTAGTTTGGTTTAGATGTCTCTCATGAGCTTTCATACCCTGACAGAATTTTGTAGAGAATATGAATGAATGCTGATTGCTGACACTTAATGGAATGGTAACGGAGCTGTTTGGATGAGGCATATTTAATTAAAACGCTAAGGTTACTGAAGTTTTACATACAAAAATAACTTATCAAAAGTTTACAAATCATAGTTTCACCCAACCAGTAATGTAAGTTTATAAGGGTTTCATCATTTCTGATACATGTCCAAGAAATCATGCATTTGTGGCCATAGGAAGGACAGGGCCTGGTTAGTGCTGTGATGGGAGACTTGTAAGAATAGCAGGTGTCACAGTGGGACGGCTGTAAAGGAGTCTGGTGGGTGAGGAAATTGGTGGTGGTCGGAGGTAGCCTGGTCTTACCATACCATCGTACTCTTTTCATTTCGTACTTAGGGAAATTATAATAGACCGGAGTTTGCGGATGGCCAGGCTATGTCGAAGAGGCCGATGGCACAGATCAGCAGCCTCACTTGTGTCTGTCTGCCACAAGACGGCTACAGCCTCAAGTAGTTTACCACCGCATTGAACAGAGTGAAAGCACTACATTAAACCAATGTATTATTTATTCTTTATATAGTTAGTAGGAAATGTAAAGTTAAAAGCACAACTGTACATTGCCCTGGCTTTAGTTTTACACTCACACGGTCACAAAGTCCTGGAGACTTGCTTCTTACTAAATGAGTTGTCTTTTTGTTGTCTTTAATAAAACATATTCAACAAGAACACGAAACAAAAGTAAAATTCCAAACAGAACAAACATGATAAAAAGATGAACAAAACAAACCCCAAGGAAAAAAATAATTTTAAAAACACAGTAAAATGCACACCCTCATTCTTAAGTAAATCCTCTGGTTTGACAGATGATATAAATGTACTTTTAACAGTTCAAAGTTGTTTATGAGACTTGATTCTTTTTGGTTTCAAGTGTGATTGGGCCGATCCGTAATGATGAAACGCCACAGTGCCAATCCTGCTGGAGAAACTCTTACGTAATAAGTCGGTGAAATGCAAAGTACTTTCCATGCTCCGCTGAGTGCTGTGTTCACTCGTCTTCACCTTTTTCTTTCTGAATCGGACTGGGTCACTCATATTTTCTTAAGATGTTTCAATGATGCCTGGCTAACCCATCTCCTGAGCAGAACAATGTAGTTGACTTTGTTTCCCAGCTCAACATTTTTTATTCCCCAGTGATGTTTTTCTTTATGTGGAATATTAATGCAGTATAGAAAATTTTGTCTTTTTACTGTTTTAGATGATTATTGACACATGTTACATAGTGTTTGGTTTGAGTTGTTTATGCAAAAAGACTAAGTATTAGACAGGCTTTTGAAAAATCCATCTGTAATTTATGTTTATAACTCTGCCTTCCATTATGCAATCGTACTTTATAATGCAAGCCATACATTCATTATGCATGTTTGTGCTATTACGAGAGCAGAGCTGCCTGAGAGTGGACCACACGCCGCCTGTCTGGTCAGCTGCCTTTTACTTATCTGACATTTTAAGCACATACATTGATTCTTTTCTGTTCCTACGAAGTGACCTGTTCATAATGTGGGGAGATGTTTAATGTATTTTATTCATTTTCTTTGATTTATGTGATACATCTTTGGTCATGGGCTTTGGGTCATGACCAAAAGCACTAGATTGCGGATATTGGCTCATTTCGATCGAGTTTCGACCGGCTCGGCTCCGTTTGAGACTGGATGAGGAGCTCAGTCACACAGTTGCATGGTGGGCTGTATTAACCTCGGCCTTTTCATCTCAGTATACTTTTGGAGCAATTTTGATCAAGATATTTAGACCATAATATGCCATAATAATACATAATAAGTAAGTCATCTCTCTTTAGCACATTTCACAGATCAAAGTTACCTATTTTCCATTCACTTCACACACATTGATGACAGAAGTGAGACGCCGAATACACTGGGACATCAGAGCCTCAGGCCAACACTATCCGTTCACTCACTCATCTCATTCGTACATATGTCTTTATGAGTGGAGTTTGCGTGTTCTCCTTGTGTCTACATATGTGTGGAGAGAATGGAACAATATCTGAACTCTGAACATTGTAAAGCGCGTTGTTGGTTTGTAAAAATGCGCTGTATAAATAAGTATCACTTACTTACTTAGTAGTGCAGACAGAGGGAGAGAGCTTTATGCAGATTTTGTTGTTTTTCCTCAAAATAGTACAAACTTTTGTGAAACTTTCATTTTTCACTGTAGATATCTCCAAACCATAATCACAGCAGTATAATGTGCTTATATATGATTCCTCTCACCTCACATCATTAATATTTCACAATGGGGTGATGTTAAGAAGCCCCACACTGATCCCACCCATAGGCCCATTGCATCATGGGCAGTCGCAGCTGAACACTGTGATGTAACTGACGCCTTCTTCTTATGGACTCAATCTTTTAGTTTATCAAAAGTTGTGCTAACTAACAGATGGAGCTGGCATTTGTAAGAAAATGGGAAAAAGGCCTAAAGCAGTTGGTTTTCAGCTAACATTTTTGAAAGAGTTGTTGGAAAGTAAAATGTCATACTTTTTCCCGAATCATTATTTTATTGGTATTCCCAAACCCGCCATATTATTCTCATGTCTGAAAGTGCTTTCTCCTGGATATGTGTTTTCTGAATATTGTCAGCATTTCTAGACACCTGAGCAAATAACTAGACCATTGTTTATATGTACTCACAAAGAAAACGTCAAACTGTTTTGGTTTTCTGTTTTGGAAATTAGCTCTAAACTAAGGCTATAAATCTGGCCTTTGGCTGTTACCGTAGTTACCAAAGTTCATGTTTTTTTTGTAAAGCAGGTAGCCTTTCCACAGATATGACCTGGAATATTTTGTATTATGTACAGCCACAGTGGGGCGGCTGCGGCTGTAAAGTGCCAAACTGCCGTTGTGTCCTTAGGCAAGACACTTCACCCCCATTGCCTAGAATGAGTCTGGTGTGTGTGTGAATGGTTAGTGTTGGTCGGAGGGGCCGATGGCACATACTGGTTGCCTCGCTTCTGTCAGTGTACCCCAGGGCAGCTGTGGCTACAGTTGTAGTTTATCACCACCGTGTATGGAGTGAATGAATAATGACATGTGAAGCGTCTTTGAGTGTCCAAAAAGCGCTATATAAAACCGATGCATTATTATTATTTTTATATTATGTATTTGTATAATAGAGTTTAGTTTAACTCTTTGTTGTGAATGTGCACTGGAACAGACCGGTTTGGGTTCAACTGCAGAAAACCTAAGCCCAAATAAATCCATGAATTGAAAAGTCAATCTGGCAGTTGTTTTACGGTGTGTGGGGAGAATGGAAAAGTATCTGAACTCTGAACAATTGTAAAGCGCTTTGGGTGACCTTGGTCTGTAAAAATGCGCTGTAAATAAACCTTACTTACTTACTTAAAGCTACCATTTGTTTGTTGTTATTATTATTTTGTTATCTATATGTAAGAACATTTTGTTTAACAAAACTGCTTATCAATACGACAGCTCTGGATTCAAAATCATTCATATTCATTATATTTATGTGTTTAATATGAACATTCATGAATCCAACCAATCCACTTTACTTATATAAATGTTTCTGCCAGCTTCATGAAAATAAAAAAGGGAATTATGCATAAAATGTATACAAATATACATA